GAAGCAACTGGTGGCCGCGACAGGGCTGAATGCAGAACAGATCCTGGCAGGAGTGAGCCCTGACAACCAGGCAGCGGTGCGAAGCTACTTCCAGTGAGCCTTTTTAATATATCTTGTTGTTTTCCTTTTCTTTCTCGGTACGAATCTGATATGCATGCAAGTATATGAATACAACTGGCAGTTATGATTTGTCGTTTGTTATTTCCTTTTATTCCTGTGATGAGACTCTATATAGCGTTGTGCGAGACTCCTGATCCCTCGAGGGATTATCTTTCTCGTGAGTTACAAACCATGACTTTGGATTGAAATAGACAGTATCTTCGTCCTGTGTTAAATCATACTCGGTAATGTGTCATAAAAATCATCGACGTACGGCTTTATAAAAGAGCCACAAATCACTCCACGACCATCTCCAGGATCTCCAGCACTTGCCCCTTCTCAGTCAACGGCACGGGATTAGTCCTGCACCAGCGATCATGCAGACTGTTGGCCGCCAGCTGGTTCAGCGCATCCCGGCCCACCCCGACCTCCTTCAACGAGCGCGGCATTCCCAGCTCCCGAATGACCGCATCCAAGACATCCCCCAGATCCGCCGACGAGACATCGACTCCCCGATCACGCAGCACGCGCGCCACCTCGGCGTTCCGCACGAGAAACTGCCCCACCCGCTCCTGCTGCTCGCGATTGGCGCCGTGCCTCGCGTTGAACTTGCACACAGCCGGCAGCAGGATACAGCTCGTCTCGCCGTGCCCGACCCCCAGCGGGCCCAGCTGATGGCCTATCCCGTGGCTGGCGCCCAGCTCGACCGACCCGCCCGTCAACGCCGCCATGGCGTTCACGGCGCCAAGCTGGCACTGCAGGCGCGCGTCGCGGTCGGCACGGTCATGCCTGCACCGCAGCAGGCCTGGGACGAGCAGCTCCAGCGCGTGCGTGGCGTGCGCGTCTGTCGATTCGGTGGTGCCGGACGTGGCGCACAGCGTCTCGACGCAGTGGTCTACAGCGCGGATGCCCGTGCTCAGCCAGATGGCGGGCGGGGTGGTGGTTGCGAGGTCCGGGTCGAGGATGACGAGCTGGGGCCCGCGCGTCGGCGCCTGAAATGAGTGCTTGCGGCGGGTGGTGTCGTCCGTTGCGCCGGCGAAGTTGGAGTACTCGGCTGCGGAGAGGGAGGTGGGGATGGAGATGATCGGGATGGTGGGTGCGTGGATGTCGACGCGTTGGTCAGGACCAGTGGCTAGAGTGGCCAGGTCGGATGCCGTCTGCACGTTGTTTGCAAGAGCCTGCGCTCGTTAACTACTTTTAATTCGTACTGATTGTGCCTGGGGGGGGGGTGGGGGGGTTTACCAATGCGGCCACCTTGGCTCCGTCGGTTAGGCTGCCCGCACCCAACGTCAAGAGCAGATCGGCCTCAACTCGGCGCGCATCGTGTACGATTTCCAGGACTTCAGACCATAGGGTATGGCTCTGCATGCCAATCCGGCGGCCTACAACCTTTTCCGGTCCTAGTGCCGTTGTCAGACGGTCCAAAGCATCTGTGTTGCGGGCCAGCGAGCCCGAGCAGATGATATAGATTTTTGAGGCTCCAAAAGTGTCGACGACATGGTGGGCGGCGGCGGCGGGGAAGGGAATTCCGTATGAGAGTAGAGGACGCGGCCGGTCGGCAAAGGCCGGACGGACTGTTTCTGGCATTTCGAATAGGGACGGAGTGCTGGAAGGGGAGAACTCTGTACAGTAAGGGTTGAAGGGTTGAAGTATGTACAATCAGTGATGAAACAGAATGTTGATACAGTTGCAGGCTGAAGGTCAGACGTGGGGCTGGGGAGATTCCTTGATTTCGGGCTCAAGCAAATAGTGTCGCCCGTGAGATTGCATCATGCATCATGCATCATGGCACAAAATTGAATTCAAACTGTTCAATTGGATATCTTATAACAGACAGAACGTACATACACGTGAACGCCTCCAAATACCCTGAGATGTATACAACTTCTTTTTGGTCCAATTCTCGCCAGTATATAAATCACTGGTGTGCCCGCTTGGCCAACAAGTTCAAGGCACTTCCCGCCAGGATGAAGCCACACTGGTCCTTGCTCAGAGTGTGATTGACTGGAATCGTCAGCTTCTCGCCGTTCTTCTTGGTGACCTGTAGCTGGATTGATCCCTGACCGCCGGACTTCAGGGTCTCGTACAGTCCGACAGTGTTGACCTGGTCGCATGCATCGATGCGGTCGTAGTCGGCCTTGTCGGCGAACGTCAGGGGGACCACACCCTGCTTCTTCAGGTTGGTCTCGTGGATGCGCGCGAAGCTTTTGGCCACGATGATCCGGCCGCCCAGGTACCGCGGCTGCAGCGCCGCGTGTTCACGCGCGCTACCCTCGCCATAGTTGTCCTCAGCCACGACCAGCCATTCAATGCCGTCGGCCTTCCACCGAGCTGCCAGGTCGGGAATCGAGTGCTTGTTGCCAGCGTCGTCGTACGCAACGTTCGTCTCACCCGTGGCAGCGTTGACCGCTCCGATCAGAGTGTTGGCGGAGATGTTGGGCAGGTGACCCTTGTACTTCAACCACGGACCGGCCGCGGAGATGGTGTCGGTGGTGCACTGACCCTTGACCTTGTACAGGACCTTCAAGCCGGACAGTTCGCCTGCAGGAAAGGGTGCGAATGGCTCCAGCAGAGCGAGACGGTCAGAGGTGGGGGAAACAATGACCTCCACGGAGGCGTCAGGGACACCAGCGCTGGGCTGGAAGGCAGGGTTGCCGTCAGCGAACCCAGCACTGGGGAGATCAGATCCCTGGGGAGGACGGAACTTGAAGTCTTCACCGCTCGGGGTCTTCAGAGTGTCGGTCATGGGGTTGAAGGTGGTGCTGCCAGAGTAGGAAAGGGCGGTTACAATCTCCGGCGACGCCAGGAAGTTCATAGTGCGTCGGTTGCCATCATTGCGTCCGGGGAAGTTACGGTTGTAGGAGGTGAAGATCGCATTGTCCTCACCCTTGGCGACACCATCAGTTCGCTTCCACTGCCCGATGCAGGGTCCGCAGGCGTTGGCCAGAACGGTGCCGCCGGCCTCGGAGAAAGAAGACAGGGTCTGATCACGGTCCAGAGTGGCGCGAATCTGCTCACTGCCGGGCGTGATGAAGAAGTCCGCCTTGGGCTTCAGGCCAGCCGCCGACGCCTGCTTGACCAGGTCCTCTGCGCGAGTCATATCCTCGTAGGAACTGTTGGTGCAACTACCGATCAGTCCAGCACCAAGAGTCTCGGGCCACTTGTTCTCGCGGACGGTGTTTGCGAAATTCGACAGACGCACGGACAAATCCGGAGTGAAGGGTCCGTTGACGTGAGGTTCCAGCGTCGACAAGTCAATCGTGATCACCTGGTCGTACTCTGCACCATCATCGGCCCGCAAAAGGTTCTTGGGGCCCGATGCAGCAATCTCGGCCGCCGCCTCGGCCACATGGCCTCGGTGCGTCGCCTGCAGATAAGGAACCATGCTGGGGGAGAAGGGGAAGACCGAGGTGGTGGCTCCGACCTCCGCACCCATGTTGCAACAGGTAGCCATACCGGTACAGCTGAGCGTCTCGACACCGGGTCCATGATACTCGATCACATAGCCGGTACCACCGCGGACGGTGAGCTTACCAGCCAGGTGCAGAATGATATCCTTGGGAGAGGCCCAGCCGCTCAGCTTACCCTCAAGACGCACACCAAGAACGCGAGGCGCTTTCAATTCCCAGGGAGCATCCACCAATGCATCCACTGCATCTGCACCACCGACACCGATAGCGATAGCTCCCAACCCTCCCGCGTTAGGCGTGTGGCTGTCGGTACCCAGCATCATCAGACCAGGAGCGGCGTAGTTCTCCAGCACACTCTGGTGGATGATACCCGCACCGGGGGGCCAGAACTCAATACCGTAGCGCTTGGCGGCGCTCTCAAGGAAGTCGAACACTTCCTGGTTACCCTGGATAGAGGCAGGCAGATCGGTGTCCGCGCCGCGCTCACCCACGATCATATGGTCGCAGTGAATACTGGCGGGCACCGCGGTCGACGGGAGGCCACAGGACATGAACTGCAACAACGCCATCTGGGCCGACGCATCCTGCATCGCCACTCGGTCCGGCTTCAACTTCAGGTTGGCCTTGCCCCGAATGTCTTTTCCATTGTTAGTGCCTGTCAACAGGGACTCCTCCGCATTGTCCAGATGGGCGTAGAGGATCTTCTCCGCCAGGGTGAGGGCGCGCGAGGATCCCAAAACCTTCCGAACCTGCTCGAGATTCCGCACAATCTTAGGGTAAGGCGGCATGCGTGCAGCGGAGGCCTCAGTGGCTAGGCCACGTCGTGCGAATAATTGTTGCGGGGGGAGGCATTTCGGGGCCAGCTATGGGGCAGTGGAGTTAGTCACAATAGAGGAAAACCCATTGTCTCTGGCGTAATCATTGGATCCAGAAGCCATTGATAAAGCACGAGAAAAACATACCCTGCGAGAGGCGGTAGCCCGCTGCCAGACAAGCTGCCTCACCATATTGACGCCCTGTGGAAGAGTTGATTGCGGAGAAGAAGACGACGCTCGGTAGATGGCAACATTCTAATGCCCTTTTTTCTGCTGCTTTTCGGCTTACTTATTTAGCTGCAATCTGATTGGCCAGGACCACGCCGATGCCGGGGCTGGAGTAGATCTTACAATACGTTACATTAGGACAGCAAACCTCGGATAAGGTATTATCCAGATAATTACGCAGCTGGTGTTTATAATTACCTAGGAAAGGTAGTTTTCAAGTACGGAGTAGTTATTAGGTATTTGAAGAAAAGATTCATAGATAGGACTCATGCCATCATGGTTAAAAGATCATTTTCTGTTGAAGAGTCATATCATCCCAAAAAAGCGCCCAGACAAACGCCTGAACTAAAATATCAGGAGAAAAATCGCAAATTGAAGAGAGAACCAAATTTCAACAGTTGTACATGAATGAAGGGTACAACATACAAAGAATATACGCAGCAGAGAATTAAGCGCTGGTTCTCTCTTCCTCGTCAGGTACAGCCGCCCGCAGCTCCCATACGATATCATAGCATTCGGCCAGCAGCGCATTGACGCTGCCCTGTCCTTCGGGAATGTCGTTTCCCATGTAGAATTTGCCGTCAACTCGCATGTTGTCAATGGAGTTCAGCTGTATGATGTCACCTTCTGTGTCTTGCCGGTAAGCTGGGGGTTGGTTACTTACCTTCATACTATATGGGTACAATTCTCGAGAATTCGAGACACCTCCGGACTCTTTGACTTCCAGGAGACATCGTCGCAAGGTCTGCAGCTGATTGTAGACTGGCAGCAAGGCCTCAGATACGGGTTCCGAAGAGATCAGAAGTGCGTAGATATAGGCGTAGCTCCTCCGAATGAGGTATAGTAATGTCTGCCAACAAATCAGTAACAAGCCCCGTCCCGACTTTCCGGGTGCTTAATTCTTACACGCTGCGCATGGATATCTGCCGGCTGCCCTTCGGCATCCACGAAATTTCCATCGACCCGAGCTTCATCAATACGGTCGAGTTTCCGCTGATATCCGAAAAGGTCGGTCTCCCGCAGAGACCAGGCCTGAGTTACGGAGAGTCGATCCAGCTGGTTACGAATCTCAAGCAGCCGATCGTATTGGTCGCGGAAGCGCTCGTCAATCTTCCCCTCTCTGTCAAACAAACAGTTAGTCACTCGGTCACTACCCGCCATGGCGAGAGCCTAGACAGAGAAATGGGCGGGCTGACCGTTCAAGCACAATCTCGGTCCAACGCCAGCACCGGTCCAGCAGCTGTTTGACCCCGTCTTGCCCTTCTAGGGGCTTACCATCTGCTCCAACGAAGTTACCGTCCTTCATTGTGTCTTGGATTTTCGTCAACTGCTTCCGAAGATTGATCACTTCCGTCGCGGAGAACTAGAAACCACGCACTATTAGCTTGTTCACTCACTCCCTCAAAAAGACACGCCAAATTTCAGAGACTACCTTTGATCGAGTGTTGGCTGCCGCTGTCGACCGCAAGACTGAAACAAGAGTCTCATGGGTGGGTGCTAGCTCAGGGTTCATAGCTTCAAGCCCGCCCCGCAACTTATCCAACTTCAATTGACACTGTTCAAGTCGACTTTCCAAGAGCGTCATCAGAGCTGGGGAATATGCATCTCGACCACGCTCGACTGTCTCCTTCATGTTGGTCAGGGTCTTGGTGATCGAGCTGAGATCTTTTGAGCTGTAAAAACCAGCTTCTTCAAGGTGATCAAGCAGGCGCTAGTCGAACGGGTCAGGAACAGAATAATATGGCGGAGACAGCTCAAAAGGGGCCGCTATACCTTGATTGTTGTTGCAAGCGAGTATCTATCGTCAGGTAATGTTAGTTCAGACAAAGACAGGACGACTTTTCAAATAAGTCAGTGAACATACACTGCGGGGGCCTCATTATTCCTTCCCACAGTCAAGAACAGTAACGAGATCAATTGAAAGCAGTCGTCGAGTACGTAGTCGACTAGAAATCGATCAAAGATCTCAATCGTTAGCCCATCTTTCGCCAGACCGACTATATCACGCGCAAGGCCCACTCAGATGCTAACGTCGGTTGTGTGTCAGCCGGCGGTCCTGTTCCTTCCGCACAGCATTGAGCTTTTCCACCTCGGAGATCACTTCTTCGTATAGCGGGAGCACATCGCGAGATTTGATATAGGACGACTTGTCTTGTTTTAGCAGCAAGAGTGCATCTCTGGTGCGGAGAAGACGCTCCAGGATCGGCTGCTCCTGCGGGTCGAAAGGGACGGGGACGGCGGGGGAGTCCATGATGCCAATAGCAGAAAGAAAATGATATGAAAATGTCGAATCGATATCAAAAGGTCGGTTAGTGGCACAGATCCGAAAATTATGCACCAGTTCAAAGAAAGAGTTGGCCGTTTGGAGTAGAGAAGAGTAAAGGTATCCGATAACCCCCTCTAGCTAGCTAGTAGTAGATAGTGATTGGAAGCCGTCGGAATGAGGAGGGGTGTTTCTCTGATGGCATCATCCTTTCCCAATCAGGCCTAGGCCAAAATCACGGGAAAGTCTTGGGACTAATCCCGATCGGGAAAGCCCTAAGCGAGGGCTTTTGCACCAAACACACAACTTCCGCTCTGGGAACAAGTGCCAGCCCGACCATCTCCATCGACAAGACAGTAGAAAAAAAGTCTCCGTCTTCCTCTTCCTCTCTCCTCCTATCCCCATCCCTCTCGAGACTCCCAGTCAAGTCCAACCCGTCGACCACCATGTCTACTGCCGAGCTCGCTTGCTCCTACGCCGCCCTCATCCTCGCCGATGATGGCGTCGAGATCACCGTACGTATTGGTCCATGAATTTCTCGAAAATCTGCGGCATGGAATCGGCAAACAACTTTGGAAGAATTGCACGAAAAAGAGGAGGAGAATTCAGAAACGGCAACGAAACTGCAAGGCAATCAAGGAACTGGGCTGATTCATGGTTTTTCTTCGATTATAGGCCGACAAGATCCAGACCCTCCTCGGTGCTGCTAAGGTCGCCGATGTTGAGCCCATCTGGACTTCCCTCTTCGCCAAGGTAAATACTGCACTACCTTTTCGCAACAGTCTTATGTGACAACGGAACGAAAAATTGGGCCCAGGATCTGGACAAACGCTTACGCTGTGACTTCTTTTTTGCAGGCTCTTGAGGGCAAGGACATCAAGGACCTCCTGACCAACGTCGGCTCCGGTGGTGCTGCTGCCCCCGCTGCCGTTGGCGGTGCTGCTGCCGCCGGTGGTGCCGCTGCCGCCGAGGCTGCTGCTGAGGAGAAGGAAGAAGGTAAAGATTCGAAACTTTTGAGACTGGCCTCCGCGAACAGGGACGCTGATCGTTCGTACAGAGAAGGAGGAGTCCGACGAGGACATGGGCTTCGGTCTGTTCGACTAAACGTCCTAATCCGTTCGACGTTCTTTTTTCTTTTTTTCCTCGTTTCTCTCCTATCTCCTTACACTACTCGAATCTCTTGTACCCGATACAATGCGACTGCACGAAGACCAAAAAGGGAAAAAAAGAAGAATCAAACGGACGAGGACTACTGGTGGGACTGGGCGCTTTGCTTGCATGATGGGTTCCGTCGTGACAGAGGTACCGGTACGGATGACGCTAGGATTTCGGGCCGTCAAGTAAAGGGAGAATTGGCATATCCATATCTGCCAAGGGCGAGATCGCTGTGGCCGCCCTCGGTTAGAATCATAATAGGTTCTCGGAAAAAGTTTTTGCCATTTGCTTGTTGCTAGATACTTTTCTAGCATAGTTGCCCAGTTCTCATGCTATGTCTGTCATGCGACCATGAACAAAGGATTCCTTCTGCTGCAGTTGTCCTCAATTGTATACACCTTGTAAATTCCTGTGTCCTCATGTCGCCTCGCGCAGTATACAACGTATGAGTTCTCAATATATACCGCTGTAGCAATTTTGCAGTCAACCGAACCACCAACGCCGTGCCAAATTTGCAGAACATACTCCGTCGCCCCTGGAAGGAAAACGAAAGAAAAAACAGAACTTTTGTCGGAATACAGTGCAGGAAATGACAAGATATAGAAATCAAGCATACTTGGGGTAGTATATCAACCGCTGCTGAGCCATGAACGCATATCTTGTAGCGAAGTCAGTGAGATATCACGACACTCACGACACTGCAGTCGTGAGCTGAGAACTCTGCTCTGCGTAAAGGCGAAATTGCAGGAAAATGACCACGTCCTCTACCATCGTGCCCAAAGAGCCAATTAGCCAGGGTAGGTTTGTCACGACGTAATTCTTTTCCGTGGAATGGCAGAGAATCTGCGAATGGTTAGACCGGGGGGGAGGTATGATGAGTAGCCTACTACTTACACCAGCGCCATAGGTAAGATTGCCCATCAAAGAGAGGATGAAGAAAAGCAATGAAAGTCCTTATAAAAATATCAGTACAAAGGGTCTTTCTTATGTGAGTGGTCTTGAAGTTCAAGGCACGTACCTTCGCATGACTTGTCGCAGTAGTTCTTGTAGATTTGAGGAAGTCGCGCACTAGTAGCTTACTGTCAGTCCAGCTCCGTTTCCGTCAGAAAGCACACTCACCCCAGGTAACAAACGGCACTGACATATCCCAGCACTTGCGCGCCAGCTGCCATGTCCACGCCCCCATCACGCTCCTTCGGAGCTGGTTTCCAGACCCCCGTCTGCCAGGCGACCGTCCAACCGGCCATGCCGATGACGCAGATCGCCAGGACACTGCTGAGGTTCTTCATCCAAGCACTCCGGACAACCTCGTTCTCCTCGACAATATTAGCTAGAGCGTCGTCAGGGTGACCGTGACCACTCCGTCCGCTACGCTGCGACGTCATAGATCGGCGTCGCGAAGCTGGACCCCGTTCTAGCGTATCGCTGAATCGACGACCGAGTAAAGGGGTCGTCGGGTCGGGGGTGACGGTGGAGGAGCGCCGGTGACGGAGCAGACTCTCGCGACGAGCATTGCGGTGTTTGTAGTAAAGACATTGCGCGATGAGCACACCATCCGCAATACAAAAATAGACCGCAATGGCCACAATGACGGGGACGAGACCGGCCCAAGCGCCTCCGATCAGGTTGGTGATATCGCCAATGAACCAGACGAAGAGGAAGAGGAGCGAGATGGCTTCAGCATTGCCATTACAGTAGTTTTCAATGAGTTGGGGAACCTGCGCAGGGGTTGCAATCAGCATTGAACTCTTGTTTGTCTCGCGCGAACGGTTGATCGCGATATCCAGGCCGATGTGAGCCATACCAGTAAGAAAATCCAACAGGTCAAGGAGACAGAACCCAGAAGACCAGAGGCAGCTTCACGCGGTGTTATCGGGACAAAATTTTCCACAGGCATATCTTCCCGGGCCAGGAAGAGGGACATTGCGATTCTGCGACCCGAGCCCTGCGGCTGCAGAGAAAAAAGCGAGCGAAGGAACAATCAATGACACACAGATTAAGCTCGGAAAAGTTTGAGTGCCAATCGACGCCGTCTCGAATCGAAACGAGTCTAGCACATTGATATCGTGGTCACTAGCAGAAGTACGTCCAGCGTTCAAAGCTGTAGGACATGTGAAACAGTAAGAGTTGAGTCTTCAAAGCGAAAAATGAAGATTTTCCTTGATGCGACTCTATATTAATAGCAGCTCTTAGTACCTCTACTAAATCCTGTTTGGTGATCGCATCCGATAAGAGATTGTGACTAAGCGAGCACTGGGATTGGCTGCCAGGCAGTAAGGCATTTTTTTATTATCACGGTGAAAACTGAAGTCATTTTGTACCTCTGTAAGCTCGAGAGTGTATATTTGGACGCTGCGCTCCTGTAGTTCATATTTGCTTGTTTTGTGTAGCCAAAGCGTGGGGCATATAAATATATATACATGTATATGTATATGGTGCTGAGTCCTATCGCCGCGGAAGTATATATCTGGACGAGCATATCCGCAGAATGACTGCATATTACAACATTATGGCTACCATGGTTTGAAAGACGGTTGATCAGTATAATGCAGGCCGGGAGAAGCCGACCGACATTTATTGCTATACAGGGTATATACAACCAATTTGACCGAGACCAGAACTATGATCAGTTTTCGACCTCGTCATCGTATTGCTGAAGTTCGAGCTCATTCTCGAGCATATCAACAACCATATCACCCATAATCTCCCTAATTCGCCCATGAAGCAACTCTTGTCGTGCGTCATCCGGCTGCACAGCATCCAGAGCGTCCAAATACTCCGTCAAGGGAGAGTAGTCGACCACATCGCCCCAGTTACCACGATCGACCCCATACTGATTCAGAAAGGCTTGCAAGCTCTGCATACCATCTCCCAAAAGCCACTGCTCTAGTGATGCTCCCTGGTCGGCCATCGGATGTCGGCGCTCGCCACCAGCTTCTTCCCGATCGTTATCGGAGAAGGCGTCGTCGCGGATCTCTCCATTGTCGTCCCCGCGGAATCGAGGAAAATGAAGCGCTCCATTGTTCAGCTGATCTAGCAGATCGCGAAGCCATTGTGGTCGGCCTACTTCTGGCATCTGCGCCAAGTAGGACGGCGTTGGGTCCGATTGCTGGCGATGAGCCTCGGAGTCGTAAGGCGGGAGTGGATCAGATGCCGAGATTCGCCCCGAAACAAAGCGTCCGGGCAAATGTGTTGTGACACGGGGGATATCCGAGAGAACGACATGGCGCGCAATGTCTAGAGTGATCTCCGGAGGTTCGATGGGCTCTTCTTCCTCTGGAAGAGTGTCGGCGATTTCCACAATGAGAGAAACTGCTTCAGGGGTATTCCAGAGGTCCTTGGCTCTGGCAATATAGAGTTCAGTGAGCAAATCATGGGCGTCCGTCGGAGGCATCTTGCCCCATATGCGCTTGGGCATGGGTTGAATATCCAACTCCTGCGCAAGCTTACAGAATACCCATGGATATCGCGACATCGCGCGGCGCAGCTGCTCGCGGCATTCCTTTGGTTTATTTAGCCGAAGATATGCCAGTGCGAGTGAGCATTGAATGTTGGGCAACAGCGCCCAGTCCTCACTCAGTCTAGTTTGTGTGCACAAAGCGACAAAGTGTGAGTATTCTCTGCCCCGGAGCGCAAGATGATCGATCAGAAGCCTGATGCAATATGGGTCGTCATCATTGAGGCCCAGCAGTAGCTTAGCCCATTCGTATGCTGTTCTCCACGTTCCTTTCATCCCCAGATTCGCAATGTACCTCCAACCCACAAGCCACAGCTCCCGATTTGCCATGTGGATAAAGTCGAGTTTTGCCTGCCCTTCCTTTAAACGATTGCCG